ACGACTGAGCTTGCCGACCTAGTCCAATGAAGTAACAGTAAAGTTCGTGGTAATTTGGATCAAGCTCTCAGAGAAAATGTGCACAACTACGGCTCTGCGCAACATTTCGCCACTAAAAAGGCTAGGTATACACTATCGGTTGAAGGAGCTAGCTGAAGTTCAGGTCCAAACAAAGGTGGTGAAGTTAGTGACGAATCGGATCACGCCTCCAAAGAAAAGGGCATGAATGTGGCACCCCACGACTTTTGCCACTACTAAAAGCGGGCTCACAAACTTGCCTGAAATATCCAGAGAAATATCACGGTGGGTGCCTACAACCCCTTCAAATGCCTTGCATTCTTAATTCCCAATAATGACGATATACGCACACAGTTCTCACTCACTATGCAAGGGCATGTGTTTCGTGTAAATATTGATTTGATCCTTTGAAGGAACAGCATCCAGCAAGTCAGAAATATAACTGTGAATTACCCGCAAGTATCTAAATTTTACTTGCTATTTTGTAGTGGTTTACCAGTTACAAAGCTGAGTCTAGTCCTGCAGAAGCACCAGAGGCGTTTCAACTTGTTGGCGCTCGTCCTTGGTGCGCATTTCCTCGGTCCTCTAAGTAGGATCGCACCAAACATTGCTAGCGGCAGATGCCAACTAGCCAGCAGCTTAAGCCATCCAGTCAAGGGGGACGTTGGCACGGCTACGTAATTTGCATACCACCTGAGATATAGCACCAATTATCAACCACTGTCACTGACAGTACTTAGCCTGCGAGGCGATGACATCCTCTCCCTAGACGCTATATCCATTGCAGTTTGAGAATAGGCGAGGCAATTTAGTTAGTAGTACTCGTAAGCAGGTGGGTGTTAATTTTAAGTGTTGTAATATTGTTTCAAAATGCTATGCTTTTAGCTTATAATAAGAGGAGGTCATCACCACGCAGGTTAAACACTGTCAGTTACAGTGAAAGTTAGGTTGTGTTATATCTCTGTTACTTTGCAAATTATTAGGCAAGTCAACATCCCCATGGCTCAGTGTCTTAAGCTGCTGGCTAGTTTGCATCAGTTTTAGCGGTCACGGGTTCGATCCTCCTTAGGAGACCAAGGGTGTGCGCACCACTGACAAGCCTGATAAGGCGCAACATCTGGTGCTTTTCTGGACTAAGCTGTGCTGTGTCGTTTGTAAACTACTGGAAGGAAAACCTCAAAAAATATACTTGTATTTATTGACTCATTCTAATATTGTGTGTCCTACAATCTAATCCTTGCTTCCGCACAGACCTGTCTTTCTTCACTATAGCCCCCTAAGCTTAACTGCTTGCTCGGCAGTTCATGTTCGTTTAAGCACTTAACAACAATCCGGCTCGAACCAGCACTGTGCTCTGCGTCCTTTTGGATTTGCGTCGATACCATATAAGCTCACCAGCAAGTGGTTCACCTAACTTACTGAAGCGGCGCTGCTCAATCCCAATTCGCAGTTGCTGGTTCATGGTTGGTTGTGCAACACAATCGTTGCTTCAGGGACGAATATTCTCCCTTTATTATTACCCTCCTCCACTCAACTGATTGTTTGGCCTTCCATGTTCCTTTAAACGCTCAGTCAACAGCGGGCTTCTTCTAGGTAGTTAATCTGGCACCCACCTTCATTGCTCTCTGCGTACGTTTAATTTTCTTTTGACACCGCAGCATTTTACTTTTCGGTGGTTCACCTAATCCATTGACGTACCGATGCGGCATCCTATTTTACAGTTGATAGTTAGTAGTGTTGCTTGATTTACAACACAAGCCTTGCTTTTGCAACGACCTGTGTGCCCTCACTAAAAGCCTTGTCCAACTAACTAACTGCTCGGTGGCCATGTGTCTTTACTCGATGAATAAAAGGCTGCTTCTGCAACGTAGTCATCCAGGCTGGTATCTTCACTGTTTTCTGCGTCTATTTGGCTTCTCTTTTACAACGTTGAGTACCACCTCCGAATGGCTCACCTAATCCATAAAAGCACTGCCGCATTCTCCTTATCTACAAATGTTGCTTTATATTATTTCTTGTGCTAAAACCTAATCGTCTCTCCAGCTAAGGCCATTATAGCTTCAGTAGAACCATCCTCTACCTAACTGACTGCACGGCAGTGCGCCTTTCTTTAATCTCGCAATGACGAGAGACTTCTGTTACGTATTTGGTCCGGCTCGTCCAACCACTCTTTGTTGCAGCCATTTGGCTTGTTTTTAACACTCCAGCGTTCCACCATCGAGTGGTTCACCTGAGAGATTAACATCCGTGTGTGCCATTCTACGCTTCAGTTGGTTGTGCATAGTATTGCTTGCTCTGCAACCCAAGACTTGCTGCCGCTACTGCCTGTGTTTCTTCACTATAGCCCTCCTGCACCTAACTGACTGCTCGGCAAGCCACGTTCTCATAATCTTGCAACAACGAGCGGCTACTGCTACGCAGTGTATCCGTTTATTTTCCTCACTGTTCTCTGCGTCTCCTTTGCTTCCTTTTGGTATTGTAGAATACCGCTTTCGAGTAGATAACATAAGCTACTTAAGCGTAACCTTGCCCTCATATTTCACCGTTTAGTATTATAGGAGTGCTGGTCCTACAAAACAATCCTTGCTTCATCCACCACTTATCTATTCTTATTTTCCCCCTTCACTTAATTGACTTCGCAGCAGACCACCTTCTCTTTATTTCTCAGCAACTAACAGCCACCTGACTACTCCGGCTCTTTCCCCAATTTTGTCTGCATCCGTTTGGCCTTACTTTTGAGCCGTAGGATTCTGCCTTCAAGTGTTTCACTGAAGCTACATAAGTAAAGATGCGCAATCCTATTCCACAGTTGCTTATTTTCAAGGCCGTTTGTGCAAAACTTCAAGTTTTACTTCAGCTGCTGCTCTAGCTTCTACACTATAACTCTCCACTACTTAGCTGACTACTCGGCAGGCTATGTATTAATTATCTACTAACATGCAGCTAATAATATGTAGTTAATCCGGCCATTACTTCACTGTTCTCTGCACGCATTTGGCTTGCGTTTGACACCGCGGAATTCCAACTTTCACGTTTTACCCAATCTAATGAAATCTAAAATCGCCCAATTATCTTACACACGTTGGATCATTGAGGTGCTTGTTGTACAGCTCAAAACTCGCCGTAGCTACGGCGTTTCACTCATCACTAGCACCCCGTTATTCTAAAATAACTGCTCGGAAACAACTGTCGCTTCATCCTCTCAACAATGAGAAGCTTATGTTATGTAGTTAATCCGACTCTTACTTTCACTGTCATCTACGTCCAACAAGCATTTTATTAACACTGTAGAATACTACAATTCTGCGGTTTATCCGACGTATTGAAGCGCTGGTTCGCCCTCCTATTTTACAAGTACTGGCTCGTAGGCTGATTTCCTGCTGTCTTTTGCTATTCCACCGCCACTGGGATTTAAACCGAATTCTTTCCTCCCAGATGTTAGACCCAACGTATTAATCTAATACCTCTTAAACCGCAAACCAGAACCATTCTCTTTATACTCAAATACGTCACAGTGGTTTACCTATTGGTCAATGCTATTTTATTGTATAATGAAAACATGTACAGCGTCATCTCTGTTGCACATTGTACATCAGGTTGTCTCAAGTATAAATGTAGTAAGG